CAAAGGAGACAATACTTCCCAAATTTTATTACTGTTTGATGTTTACCAGGAGAATTGGGGACCACCTTCTGTACTCTTTGCCGATCAGGTGTTCAACTCCTACTTCAAGTTGGGTGGTGGAGTTTTTGACCTTAGTTGGTCCTCTCCGGAACTGTCATAGTGGCCATCCTATTTAGGGGGCTTCATTTACAAGTCAATCCCATGTTAATGTGGGCACCGAGGTCAATAGCTGGTCAGTTACCTTAGTGCACCTGCACTACTAAGGAATCTTCCTTCCCAGATGATTGGAGACAGTCATAATTCCTCACTTCACATCGACCTCAGTGGATCCTTTCCTCTTGACATGATTTCGGTTTATTTTCTAAAAACTAACTACCACCCTTGCTTTCTTGTCTACTTTGGAAGTAGTTTAAAGACAGACCCCAAAGTAATTTAAAGAACACTTTGTGTCAGGTGCAGTGGCACACACCTGTAATTCCAGCTGCTTGGGAGGCTGAGGCAGGAGGAATTCAAAGTCAACCTCAGCAAAAGTGAGGTGCTAAGCAATTCAGTGAGACCTGACTCTAAATAAAATACGGAATAGGGTTGGGGATGTGGCTTAGTGATCGAGAGCCTCTGAGTTCAATCCCTGGTACCCACCCCTCATTCCCCCCGAAAAGAGAACACTTTATATCTTACCATGCATTTCACTGCTCACTGCTAGCTACTACCTAACAATAATGGTATTACAGTTATGTTAAGAATCCCTCTTCCACCTTTTTAGAGATTGTAAATGGAAATATTTAAGGGATAAAATATCGTGATATATGAAATTTACTTTAAAATAATAATTAAACTAAAATCCAAATTCAGCAAAATATTAATCATTCAATATATGTAGTAGGTATCATTATACTATTTCATTTTTATGTTTGGAAATGTTCTGAATAAAACATTTTAAAAATTCAGACATTACTTAATAGTTTCAGATGTGTGCCCATATTAACCTTTAAGATCTGCTTATTTCTATTTGCAGCAATGAGAATTAAACCCAGAAAACCACACTTTTCTTCCCATTGCATTAATGACTAGGTGTATTAAACTTTTGGGAAATTCAAGGCTATATGTAATTTGTTTTGATCCATTTGGGACACTAACCAACATTACTCTTTGTAACTTCTCCAATGGCCTGTAATTCCTTAGGGAGCTTTGCCTCTCCACACTCAACTGCCAGAAACTTCTAGAACCTTTTCTAACTACCACCACCCAGATGTGGAGGCACATTGAGCCATATTGCTTAGTTCCCACAGAATTTGAACATAATCAGGCTAGCTCAGACATTATAAATAAAAATCATATATTCTATTATTAAAATTTTTTTGTTGAAATTCTTTCTGTCCAACCATGATAGTGGACTATGTTAATCCTGACACCCATCCTTCAGAGTTTTGTTGTTGTTGTTTAGTTGTAGATGGACACAATATCTTTTATTTATTTTTATGTAGTGCTGGGGATCAAATCCAGGGCCTCACACGTGCAAGGCAAGTGCTCTATCACTGAGCTACAATCCCAGCCCCCTTCTGCAAATCCAGAATTATAAACCTGGTGTCGTTATAAACCTGGGTGGGGGGGTTCTGAAGGTGGTCTATATTTTATTTAAGGTGGACTATTAATGTGGCCAGAAAGCAGTTTGAGCTCAGCACACAGAAAAAAAAATGTACACTTCCCAGTATACCAGTGATAGGATGACAAGTTCCCATTTCCCATATGTTGAAGATTAGATACTCAAGAAATGCAGAGGCAAGCGTAGAAAGCGAGTTTTATGTAAAGGAGAGATCAGAGATAGACTTCTCCAGAGCTGGGAATTCAAAGAAAGGGGGGCGGGAATGGTGTGTGTGTGTGTTTGTGTGTCCTGTCCCTTTTATATATTTTAGAGTTCTTTTGTTATCATGCCCTCCTTTTCCTCTTGCTTCTCTCCTCTCCCCATCATGCTCATGTGACCAGTGGACAAAAGATGAGCCAAAAGGTGGGAAGGATGCCTTCTAAGGTTATCTCTCCGTGTCTGCCCAGAAGGGCAGGAAAAGGGTCACCCAGGAGGTGCTTCCTTAACAACCTTTTCAGAGGAATAGTTCCCTGTAGGCAGGTAACCTTGGCAACAGCTTGAGGGGGAAGGGCTCTGGAGGAATTAGCATTTGATTCTTTCCCTTTGGAACCAGCCCCCATCTCCAGGTTGGACCCAATTATTTACACTGACTGTCTTTTTGCCCTGCCCCCACCAGAAGAGAGGTGCTTAGAAACTGAAGTGTTAATTTCCTTACAGATTAAAATACAGTTCTGGAAGTTTCCCAGAGCTATCCTGAAGTCTGATTAAAACTGAATCCAAAAAGATTCTTATCAGACTGTCATTTATTGGGCATTTCGATAAGAGCAGATATATGGTCATGGTTCTTGGGAGGCTTCCAAAGTTCAATTATGATATAATCAATAGTAAGGAATATTTTATTATAATTGTACTATAATGTACTACAATATTTCAGTTGTAATATAATTACAGTTTAAAGACATTTTTAAACAATTCAGCCTTGAACAAGTATGGGTACTAAATCTCTAACTTGACTACTAGCAATTTTTTCAAGGAAGAAACAAGGAGCCCACAGTCAGATATCCAAATTGAGGTTCAGGCCAGGAAGGGTTTAACAGAACTTGTATGTATGGCAAAGGTTTAATGGTTGCCTTGTTCTATAAGATCAGTAGCCTGTAAGGAAACTGGATGCTGTGGTGTGGTGTGAGCCCCTAATTCCAGATACTGGGGAGGCTGAGACAGGAGGTTTCCAAGTTCAAGGCCTGCCTAAACAGAAAGGGGGCTGGGGATGTGGCTCAAGCGGTAATGCGCTCGCCTGGCATGTGCGGGGCACTGGGTTCAATTCTCAGTACCACATAAAAATAAAATAAAGATGTTGTGTCCACTGAAAAATAAATATTAAAAATTTCTTTAAAAACTCTCTCTCTCCTCTCTCACTCTCTCTTTAAAAAAAAATTTCAAGAGAAAGAATAGGAAAGTCTATATCCAGTTAAACTATATTCCACAATAGAACAAAGCCACAGTTATGTATCATTATTATACAGCTCTAAAACTGGTAATAACATTCTGGAAGCACAAATGAAAATCACAATTTTCTGTGAAGATACAAAGTCTTGCCATAATTTCATTTCTCCATTTGATGATTCTTTCTCCTTGCTTTGGAAGCCCAAAATTAACACAGGATGTTCTCATTAAAAATTACAATTATTTTTAATGCGTATAAGTCTACAGTGTGAGTTACATAGATGCTCATATTGTTTTTAAAGAGGTTGTTTTCCCAGTCCTTCTATAGGACTTGAAGTACACAATTCATATGCAGAATCCTTAAAAGATGGGAGAAAAAAAAAGCCTATAAACACTTAGGTCAAAATTATAAGCAGAGTATAGCAGAGCCGGGTGGCACACACCTGTAATTCCAGAGGCTGAGGAAGCTGAGGCAGGATGATCCCAAGTTCAAAGCCAGTCTCAGCAAAAGTGAGGCTCTAAACAACTCAGAATGATCCCAAGTTCAAAGCTAGCCTCAGCAAAAGCGAGACTCCAAGTAACTCAGTGAGACTCTGTCTCTATTAAATAAAACAACAACAACAACAAAAAAAAAACAGGGCTGGGGATGTGGTTCAGTGGTCGAGTGCCCCTGAGTTCAATCCCTGGTACCA